TTAGCTTTTATCTTATTAGAATATAACTAATATGAAAACGCTTATTCTTTTTATATAATTTAGTAAATTAAATCATGGTGAATAAATAACTAAGTGATGTATTTTAAGTAATTTATTCAAATTAATTAGACATATGCGCCGATAAATTACAAATATAATGATACATAAATTTTCCGGTTTAACAATTTTTGTTATTATTTGAAACATAGCATTATATTTCAATCCTTTTTATATAATTTCTCTTTGTAAATAAATTTTTTATCTATTTTTCTGATTTTCTCAATAAAAGTTTGATATAACATTTATTTGAGCCGTATAATATTATTTTCTTTATACAATAAAAACTAGATTCTTAAACATGATTTCGAATTATGGTCTCTGAATATTAGAATAAAATGAAATTATTTGATGATCTAATCACATGATAGGTTTGATATCAATTATTATATGAAAATTTTAGTAAATAATATAATTGTCTGAGTACAAGCTAATTATTAACTAAAAAAGTATTATTTTCTAAGAATTTGTATTAGCCTGAGAGTATTCTATTCTTAATGGATGATTAGATAATTTAAATTAATTTAATAAAACAATATTTTTTAATTAATAAAATTATATAGATTTAGTTGTATACGATTTACATGAGTTTTTCTTATATCAATTGTAGAATTTAATAGATTCTACTTATATTTAGTCTAAATCAGTGAATATTATGTTCTAGGGAGCATAGAAACTTTAGATATTTTAGCCGAAAATTATAAAATTTTTCAAATTATTATAAAATCGGGATTAATTTAAAAAACGATTCTTATTCAAGAATATTGTTTTAATCAAATTAAATTTCAATGATTTATCAATCCAGGTTAAGCTGAAACTCATTTAGAAAATCTTTACACAAAAGCGTAGCATTTCTTAACTAGTATATAGTGTAGCACATCATCTACAAAAACTACAGCAAATTACTATTAAAATAACAACAATATTGACATCTTTAAAAACCTATATATGATCATAATCAGCATTGAAAATTAAAAAAAAAGCATAATCGAAGGCTTTAGATCGTAAAAACCAAACTCCAAAATTCACCAGAATGAAGAAATCTCTTACTGAGTAACCTTAGTTCTCTCCAATATAAGTCTACCAAGGCTTAACTCCTCTACAATACCAAAATTAAAATTCGGAAAAGTACCAAATACTCTTAAAATTCTTTTGCTTAAGAATTTATCCGGCTAAAATCATATGAGATATGGCATCTGTTTTAAAACCTTAATCCTACCTTTGGTATTTGCAGCGAGCAACTAAATCTAAGTATACACACTGCTGAAATTCAGAATAAGGAATTATCGGTTTATCTACCCATTATCGTTCACACAAGAAATCTTTACTCTCTAACCCTAAGT